CTGGAAGGAGCAAGACTGTGGCTACCCAGAGTGAGCTCAGGAGGCATATACTAGAATCAGGAAGGTTCTCTGAGAGAGAAGGGCTGAGATGGACAGGTCACTGCCAATACACTGGATCTTTGGTTAGTGGCAGCAGTCCAGTCCTGGAGCTTGCTATAAAGGGACTGTCTTTGAACAGTCTTCCCAAGGAACATGATTTTGGCTGCTGTTGCCCAGAGTCTGGAAGAGCAGACTTCCTAAGGCAGAGGCTTAATTGGTTCTCTTTCTGGGTCGGCAGATTGTGAGGACTCCAGGATGAAGATAACCACGCCATGTGTGAGCTCAGGTAACTGGCTGGCCTGGGAGAACTGTACCCAACACAGACACATGCACGTGCACACACGTGGGTGTACACACCCCTTCTCACTCCCAGCCCACATCTGTGTCCCTGACAGGCAGCCTGTGGGACCCCAACATCACCGTGGAAACCCTGGAGGCCCACCAGCTGCGGGTGAGCTTCACGCTGTGGAACGAATCCTCCCATTACCAGATCCTGCTCAACAGTTTTCCACACATGGAGGACCACAGCTGCTTCGAGCACATACAGCGGATACCTGCGGTAATGGTCACCCCTCTGACATAGCTCCAGAGTCCGACACTGCCGAGTCAGGAGTGGCCTGGGCGCCTAGCGAGCTGTAGAGTTGGTCTTTCTTTCCACCTTTTGGCTGATGAAATAGAGTCAATTCTGCCCTGCCCCCTACCCATCCTTTTTGTTCTTCCTTCCCCCATTCTCCCCTTATTCTCTATTTTGCTGTTTTTATTCTACTTGATTCCAAAAAGGATTTATATGTGTGTACACACACACACACACACACACACACACACACACACTGGGGATTAAACCCAGAGGCATTTCACCACTGAGCCACATCCCCAGCCCTTTTTAATTTTGAGACAGGGTCTTGCTAAGTTGCTTAGGTCCTTGCTAAGTTGTAGAGGCTGGCCCTGAACTTGAAGTCCTCCTGCTTCCTGTGTTGCTGAGACTACCTCAGTGACTGTGTATGAGCCACTGAGCCCAACTCCAAAAAGGATTGAAGATTAAAAAAGAAGAAGAAATAAGGGGTTTAAGACAAAGGGGTCCTACAGACAAGAAGTAAGATGAAGCCAGGTTAGTGCAGAAAAGATGTGCTGTGTGGTCTGTCCCCTTGCTGGGTGTGAACACAGATCTGTCCTACAGTCCCCAGCAGCCACGCAGAGGGGGAAATACCAGTCACTACTGTCTTTATCAGTTGACAGCAAACCACTCGCCCTGCAGAATGGTCAATTTTTCTGGAACAGAAATCTGAAAAGCGTTTCCCCCTCTGGCCTTCCTGAGAAGTGCACTTGGTCCATGAGGGTGATGTCCCCAAGCTTCTTGGGGGTGTGATGCAGCAAGTTCTTATCCAACTGGCCTTTTTTGTCCTCCTCTCTGCAGCCCAAACAAGAGGAATTCCACCAGCGAGCCAACCTCACTCTCCCGCTACACAGCTCTAACTGGTGCTGTCGCCACCGAGTACAGGTGGGTGGGCGTGATGCACACAGGTGTGGGAGAGTGTGCACAGGGGGCAAGGTAAGCAAGGGCAGCTGTGGGCCTGCGCTGTATCGGGCCCCAGCGCCGCTCTGTCACCAGCCTGCCTTTCAGCTGCCCCGTTCTCCCAACCCCACCTGGGCAGGGGACCTTTGACCCACTGCACAGATAGGAGATCGGGTTCAGCAGCCCCTGGAAAGATCTTTGGGCTTCTTGATGGAGTGTTTTAACATTGCCTAGGATGGACTCAAAGTCCTGGGCTCAGATGATCCTCCTGCCTCAGACTCCTGAGTAGCTGGCGCTACACACAAGCGCCAACACGCCCAGCTCAACAGCCACATGGAGATCTGGCCTAGCCACCAGGGTCCATTACTTGCAAATAGCCCCTGCGGTTGAGAAAGCGTGGGGATGGGTGTATGTTGCCACCTCTCAGAGGCCCTCTTGCAGTTCTTCCTCTTCTCTCCCAGGTCCAGCCCTTCTTCAACAGCTGCCTTAATGACTGCCTTAGACACACTGTGACCATCCCCTGCCCAGACGTTCCAGAGCCTTCAGGTAGGAGGGACACCTCTGCCCTGGGTTGTGTCTGTCTGGGGTGAGGTTGGGTGAAGGTCATGCCCTGGAGCTGAGTCCTGACCTGGTCCTAGGTGTGGCGGAGAGGTGGGGAGGGTGACTTAATTTGAGGACACTCTCCTGAGCTACACTCCCCACAGCCCTTCATAAGCCATGTGGCCTTGGGTAGAGTTTGTGGCTTCCTTGCCCTTAACTTCCTGGACTGAAGATGAGGTTGTTACTAGCACATGGTTAGAGTTAGGCACCAGTAACATGGAAGTGCTTTACTTCTTACAAACTGCTAGTCACAGTGTGGTGAAGTTGAGACTCCCCACCCCAGGCTCACAGATGAGGAAACTGAGGCACAGAGATGTTAAATAGTTTGTTCCAGATCACATGCTAAGGTAGTGGAGAGCCCCAGCTTCCTACCTGAGCCAGTTGCCTACTTCTCCTTCAGAAGCCATGGGTCCCCAACTCCCACGAGGCCATCGCCACATGCCAGCTGCACAACAGCAGACATGGCACAGGCTGGAAGAGACCCGGCCTCCCGGGAGGGAGGTGAGGCCCCTCTTCTTAGACCAACAACTGAGGGTGCTTCCTGTAGGTGGCTGCATTAAGTTTGACCCATATCCAAAGTATTGGGCATAGGGTTAGGGTTAGGCCCTCCATGGACATCAGTGATGGGTTTTGTAATTACTGCTAATAATTAAGAACACTCTCTTCTCTTTTTCCTTTTGTTCTAATTGCAGTCACAATTGCAGGTAAGCTCAGACCCTTCCCACATTCCCCAGGGATCAGAGGGGTTCCTGACTGAGCCTTGCACCCAGCCAGGCAGACAAGGCTGAACCTGAGGCTCGGTGTGTCCTGGTGCAGGCCAGAGAGGACAGAGCCAGGGACTGGGGAATGGCGCTGGGACCCTTGCTGTCACTCACGCTGTTCTGCTCACCACAGAGTATATACCCCTGTGGGTGTATGGCTTCATCACGGGCATCTCTATCCTGCTGGTGGGCTCCATCATCCTGAAGACCAAATGCACAACTTGGGGGCAACATGGTAAGTGTCAGAGGCTCTGGGGCTGGCGGGGGCTTCCCCTTTGATGCTCACTTCTCCCCGGTGTCGTTCCTTCTCCTTCCGGCATCAGCCTCACCCCTAGACCTTCTCTGTAAATCTGTGCTCACAGGACGCCCTTCAATCCAGCTCTGTAATCTCAATCTCAGTAACTATAGTTGCCTCTCTTAGACCACCGTGGTCAGGAACCTAGAATGAGGTGTCTGGCTGAACCTGGACACAAAGCCCAGCTTCACCACTGTCTGGGAAGATCACTTGACTCTCTGTGCCTCAGGTTCCTCTTTTATAAAATGACAATGCTAACGATACCCACATCGTCAGGCTCCTAAAATGATTAAGTGGAATAATGCACACAGATTCTTAGCTCAGAACCTGGCACATGATATTTACTTAAGAGCTATTAGCCAGTTATATCATTATTAAAAATAGTATTATTGAAAAATCATTGGGTTTGAAGAAACTAGAGAAGATTCCCCTGCATCAGGATTGATCCACCAGGCAGATGGAACAGCAGAACGACCCCATCCTGTGGCCCTCAGACTTGTGTGTGTATGGTCAGGGAGAATAACACAGCACGGCAGCATGTGATAGACAAGTCTCAGTCTCTGGACCCTGGACCCACAGCTGCAGACCCTGCTGTACTCACCAGCTTTGCAGTTATAGGCAAGTTACTTAACAAATTTTTGGTTCCATTTTCTTTTCTATAGAATGAGATAGTAATGCCTCTCCCAGGGCTTTGTTGGGATTAAATGAGATACCAAGAAAGGTACCTGCTGGTGGGCATCAGTACATAGCAGTTCCTTCTCCCTCTGCACTCCTCTGCTGGTCAAATGCTAGTCAAGGAGAACATGTGGCATAGGTTAGGAGACTCAGTTGTTCCCTGCCCCACTGTGACTCTAGGCTGTCTCTTCTGTCATCTGGGAAGTTGTTTCACACTTGTGAGGCAAGCTCCCTACCACTGAGCTACACCCCAGCCCCTTGGTTTGGTTTTAATTCAAAGAGGAGACACATACTTCAAGTGTCTGAACTATCCCACCAGCTGCTATGGCATTTGTGACTTTCCTGAATTGCCGTCTATCCCAGGAAAATCCTCAGTAGTTATCAGAGTGTCTTCTGGTAGTTCTGATATGAATCCCCAGGAGTGAGGATTAAAATTAAAATCTAAATTTCTAGCTTGGGAACTGAAGTGTAGCTCAATGGTAGAGTGCTTTCCTAGCTATGCAAGGCTAGGAAAAACAAACAAACAAACAAACAAACAAACTGTGATAGATGCATGGGTTACGTCAGATGTATGCTGTGGTTCCTGAGTCCCTTCAAGAGACCCACATTTTGGACCTACCTTCCACCACTCCACATAGAGGGCTTTTCGGGCCACCCAAAAAGAAAGTTCTGGTATACCATGTTTTCAATCAGACAAGGAAAGGATGTTGAATGTATTGCATTCTGTGAAAAAAAAAAAAAAAAAGGTCCTTCCCTGAGCAGACACCTCTATTCCATAGCCAAGTCTTTGTGCCCCTTTTTTCCAATTAAAATGTTTAAAGGATCAACTTAAAGGCAGATAGGATGGTGAGAGAGAGAGAGACACCAAGCTGGTTTTTTTCAGGCATCCCAAACAAGCAACATTTGGCTTATCCCCAATGGCTTGTCCTCAACGGCCTAAGAAATGGTGGCATTTATTAGGGAGTCAAGCTCTGCACTGGGTGCAGGTCCCTCACAGACTGGCCAGCGGGGGCTGCACCTGGAGTCTGGTGTGGGGATCAAGCATGTGGCCTGGCTTCTCTTGTCTTCCCTAGATGTCCCTGCCGATGAACTGACCCTCCCAACCCCTGATTCCTGGGAAAGTCTGGCGCATCCGAGGAGCTCACCACCCACGCTCCGTGACCGTGCTCCTAGAGGTCACCGTTTCTACTAGCTCCCCTAGCCCACTTGACCCTCCTGGCTCACCCAACTCACCGCCTGGCCCACCACTTCAAATCTTCAGCTTAATTTTGCTGGACATACTATTTTTGGTTCACATCCATTTTCTTCCAGAGCTTGGTAGGTATTACTTCAGGACCTCCTAGCTTTTAGGATCAATGTCCCTGACCTTGGATGAAAAATCAGCCAAGATCCAGATTGGTTTACCTCTAAAGTGGTTTACCTCTAAATTTATATCTAAATGCCACCTGCACCTCAGGGCATTATTTTCCAGGATATGCAAAAAAAAAAAAAAATCAAGAAATTTAACACCAAAAAACGAAAAAACTCCATCAAGAAATGGACAAAGGAACTAAACAGACACTTCACAATGACCTGTGAAATATGAATGATCAACAAATATATTAAAAAGTGTTCAACATCTCTAGCAATTAGAGAAATGCAAACTAAAATGGAAGTGGTTTCATCCCACTCCAGTCAGAATGGCCATTATCAAGAATACAAGCAACAGTAAATGTTGACAAGGACGTGGAAGAAAAAGGATACACTCATACATTGTTGATGGGACTGCAAATTAATACAATCACCCTAGAAAGTGGTATAGAGATTCCTCAAAAACTAGAAATGGAACCACCGTATAACCCAGCTATCCCAATCCTAGGTATATATTTCAATGGATTTAAAATAAGCACACTACAGTGTTGTAGCCATATCAATATTTATAGCAGCACAATTCACAATAGCTAAGCTATAGAACCAACCTAGGTGCACTTCAACAGAAGAATGGATAAAGACATTTTGGCCTATATACACAAGTGAAATATTACTCAGCCATAAAGAATGGCTTTATGACATTTGTCAGTTAACAGATGGATCTGAAGACCATCATGCTAAGTGAAATAAGCCAATTCCTAAAAACCACAGGTCAAATGTTTTCACTAATATGTGGAAGCTAAACCACAATAAAGGGGTGGGGGAAGATGAGAAGTTCACTAGATTAGACAAAGAGGAAATGAAGGAAAAGGAGTGGGGATAGGAATAGGAAAAACAGAATGTATCTAACATAATTTTCCTATATATCCATATGAAAATATCTAAGTGAATCCCACCATTACGCCCATCCACAAGAATGAGGTCCTAATTAGAATAAGATATTCCATGCTTCTATAATTTTATCAAAATGGAGTCTACTGTCATGTATAACTGAAAAGAACCAATAAAAAAGCTGAGAAAACAAATTAACAAAGTTCTCTGTTTCTGATCAGCCCCTGTGGTGCTGAAATGTCCCTCAACCTCCTGGAAAAACAGGTCATCTCAGAAGTAGGGGTCAGGACCTTGGTGGGCAACCAGAAGCAGGAAGTGGTAAACATCTCCAAGTCATCATCCTGCCTGCCATGGTGATGCATGCTGATAATCCCAGCTGCTCAGGAGGCTGAGGGAGGATGAGCCCACCACCCCGCCCACTGGGGACCTTTTCACCGAGGCCATGAACATGATCCTGCCAGACTTCAAGAAGCCAGCCTGCTTTGGCACCTACATCGTCTGCTACTTCACTGGCATCAGCAGTGAGAGCGATATCCCCGACCTCTTCCACATCACCTCCAGGTACCCCCTTATGGACAAGCTAGAGGAGGTTTACTTCCGGATCCAGGACCTGGAGATGTTTGAACCTGGCCGGATGCACCGGCTCCAGGAGCTCACAGGGGAAAACTACCTGCAGAGCCCCAGCGGCCGGCAGCTCAAGGAGGCCATGGAGAAGTTCCGGGAGTGGCAGACCCAGTGCCCTGACTGGTTTGAACGTGAGAACCTTTGCTCCACGGATGACCAGAACCTCTCATCCCTGGACGAAGAAGTGTTTGAGGAGCCACTGCTGCCGCCGGGGAGCGGGATAGTCAGGCAGCAGCCCCTGGTGCGGGAACCTGCCTCCGAGGGCTGCCTGAGGGTAGATTTATGTGTGGGCGAGGAAGGAAGGGGGATGTCGAGGGTAGCACCCCAATTGCAGCCCCAGGGGGAGGCCATCCAAACCGTGGTGCTCCCCAGAGAGCAGGTCCCTGCTGCTTGTGCCGTGGAGCTGGTTCCTCTGGCTGACAACAGCGTGGCCAGCCGGCTGACCTGGGTGGAGGAGGGCGAGGCCTGCCCCCTGCTGGAGGATCGTGGCCTCCAGAGAAAGAACCTCCTCTTCCTCCCCGGGGACCCTGAGGACTCGCCTCTCTGCAGCACTCCAGTGGCTTCACCTGGCCACCTCCCCGATGGTATGAGGGAGCAGCTGGGGGGGCTGGATGCTCTCACTTCTGCAGCAGAGTCTGAAGAGCCAGGCCCAGGGTGCATGGGAAGACCCTGCCCTGGTGCTCAAGGACCCCTCCATACCCTGTGAGGAGGAGCAGCGGCAGTCTGTGCAGTCGGACCAGGGCTACATCTCCAGGAGCTCCCCACAGCCCCCTGATGGGCTTGGGGAAATGGAGGAGGAAGAGGAAGAACAGGACCTAGGGAAGTCAGCTGAGCAGCTGTCTCCTGAGCTTCTGCAGGACCTGAGGAGCCTCCAGCAGCAGCTTTTCTTCCAAGATCTCCAAAAGAACTCTGGCTGGGACAGTGTGGAGTCAGAGAGGCCGGCTACAGAATAGCAGGCCGCTTCCTAGAGCCTCCCTGGTCCAGACCCTCCATAGGGTATTCATGTGCATGTGGGTGTACATATGTATGTGTGTGTGTGTGTGTGTGAGAGAGAGAGAGAGAAAGAGAGAGAGAGAGAGAGAGAGAGAAGCATCTGCTTTTTTTAAGAGACAGAGAGAATTTTTAATATTTATTTTTAGTTCTCTGCAGACACAACATCTTTCTTTGTACGTGGTGCTGAGGATTGAACCCGGGCCGCACACATGCCAGGCGAGCGTTCTACCGCTTGAGCCACATCCCCAGCCCAAGCATCTGCTTTTAAAATGTAGATGTCTTATCAGGCATGGTGGCATGTCCCTATGGTCCTAGTTACTTGGGAGGCTGAGATGGGAGGATTAGTTGAGCCTAGAAATTCAGGACCAACCTGTGTGACAGCAAGATCCTGTCTCAAAAATAAATTAAGGAAAATAAAACGTACACATCCTGATTCTGATCCCAGTACCCCTCCTTAACTTTTCTTTATGTGACCATCTTGTATCCCCACAAGAAGTCACAACCCATTCCCAGGAATTCATGGATGAGTCATTCATTGATTCATTCAGCATTTATTTGGCACCTACTGTGTGCCAGGCATTTGGGATAAAATAGTATATTGCACATGCAGAGGCCTTGGCCACCAAGGAGCTTAACATCTAGTGAGAACCAAAAATTAGCAAGCATGGAATGAGGATGAAGGAACAAGGTGTAAAGACTGAAGAAAGGCCTGGCAGGGCCCTGGCCCAGGGAGAAGCTGGTTTGGGGGAATGTCACAGTCCCAGGGAAGGGAGAGCCTGGGGGGGGGTGAGTGCTGGTGGGGGGAGGCAGGAGAGATGTGGATGGGGAGGAAGCCAGAGCTCGGGGTAGGGAGAACCTTGTAGGCCAGGCTGGGAGCTGGGACAGCAGCGCTGGGGACGCCTTTCATGAAAGATGAGCTGGTGCTCTGGAGGGGAGGGGACTGTGTGCCAGACGTGCCTAGAAGTCACCTCAGATCAGTTTTAAAAGCAGACAGGATAGAGCGTGTGATGTGAAACCCAACAGCATTCAGCAGGGGGAAGAGTCTGGAATCCTGAGCTCTCTGACTGGCCACCTGTCTGTGGGAGGGCTGTGGCCCAGCATGTCTCAGGGCTGCCTGCCTGGACCCTGGGGCTGAAGCCCTGAGCTCAGGAAGCACTGGGCAGGGGGGCAGAGTGAGGTGCCATCTGGGGCGGGGAAAGGAGGCACTGGAGATCCAGGCAGGCCCTTTGGGGACAGGGAACGGGTGCTGCTGTGTACTTGAAGGACTGAGGTTCAAGACAACATTTGGAGAGATTCAGGCCCCAGTTTGAAAGCAGTTTTCCTCAAGCACCTCCTTGGGGTAGATGGGAACTGAAGAACACACAGGATGCCTCTGACCCTGGCCTCGAGTGCTGTCCACTCTGGGCATCAGACTGTCATGTCTTCCCAGCTTCAGCGCGGAGAGGACTCTGATAGGACAGGAAACCAACATCACAAGGCGTGTGTGCCTGGGCCTGTGCGTGCATGAAAGAGATTCAATAAAAAGTTGTTAACTCTGCCAAGAATTCCCACTAGTTATTTTGAGTCACATGTTACCATAGATCTATTCTTTCTTGCAGACAGATTTTGCCTAGCAGCAGCAACAGGGCCACCAAGGCAGTAAGTTCCGGCGTGTGCCCCATACTCGGTCCAGCAGCAGCAGCAAAGGACCAGAAGAGGGAGAAAAGGAATCAACCCCTCCCAGCCACCAGCCTCTGAGGCGCCCTCTTTCTTCTCTAGTAATCCTGACTGAGCATCTTGGATCAGGATGCCAACCAAGCTTCCTGTGACATTTCCCCAGCTCCCAGTACATATGTATTAGAGGTCCAGAGTGCAGAATACCATGGCGACTCTGCTTTTGCTAAAGCAGGGCCTTGCCTGACAGCAAAGTGACCCCAAGCCACTGCATGGTTTCCTGAAGCAAACTCTACATCTTGATCACAAACCTTGAGTTCTAGCTGCTTTGGGAGGCCTTATCAATAAACGTCCTCAGAGCTGGGCATGGTGGCACACTCTGAAATCCCAGCAGTTTGGGAGGCTGAGGCAGGAGGATCAAGAGTTCAAACCCAGCCTCAGCAACTTAGTGAGGCCCTAAGCAACTTAGTGACACCCTGTCCCTAAAATATAAAAAAAGGCTAGATATGTGGCTTAGTGGTTAAGGACCCCTGGGTTCAATCCCAGGTACCAAAATAAAAAAATAAAAATAACAAGAATGTCATTTTAAAAAAATAATAAAATCAATTTTTTTTTAAAAAAAGGGAAAAAAATAAAACAATGTCCTCAGTTGCCATTAAGTCCTCTTTATCTCCATGGTTACTGATTTTTTCACCTAATATCTTTGTCAAGATATACTTGATTTTTTTTATTTATTATTTAGTTGTAATTGGACACAATACCTTTATTTTATTTACTTATTTTTATGGGGTGCTGAGGATCAAACCCAGGGCCTCGCACATGTTAGTCAAGCGCTCTACCGCTGAGCCACAACCCCAGCCCAAAATATACTTTATATACCATACAATTCATAGGTGACTGTACAACTTAGTGATGTTTAGTGTATTCAGGATTCAGCAACCATCAGCACAATCAAGTTTAGAACATTTTCTTACCCCAAAAAGAAACCCAGCACCCCTAGTCATCACCACCTAACTTCTTCATCCCTAGGTGACCCCTAATGTACACTCTGTAGATTTGCTTTCTCTGGTCATGTCATACAAATGGAATAAAAAATCTCCTTCCTTCCCCCTCCTCCTCCCTCTCCTTTTCTCACTGTTTCCCAGGCTGGCGTTGAATTCCAAGGCTCAGGCAGCCCCTGCCTCAGCCTACTGGGCACCTGAGTTCACAGGCATGCACCACCGTGTACTGGCTTCATTTCTTTCTTTAATCTCATTCCCTTATTTCTCCTCACTTTCCCTCCCGCTTCCTCAGAGCCCTCAATCTCTTTTGAGTCTTTGCTCACCATAAGTGCTGGAAATTATGTAACTGAGTGGGGCATATGTTATTGGCTGGATGCCAAGTCATCAAGCGCATGTATAATCAAAGCTGTGCCTAATTTTTTGCCTAACAAAAACCCTCTCACCCAAAAGCCTCTCCAAGAACAGACGCCTTTAAGCTCTGCTTTTCCCACCCTCCTCTAGGTGGAAGGCAGCAGAAGACCTTGGGGGTGGGCAGAAAGCACCAGCCAACGTGACCAAAATTCAGTGGATCATCTACCCATGACTGGTGTCTAGTGGACACAGTTACTTCCATCATGTACACTTCTGACTCATGCAGAGAAATGTTATGCTTTTTCCTGCCTACTATCTTGACCCTAGCCAAAAAAAAAAATAACACCATGAGGGCTGGAGGTGTGGCTCAGTGTTAGAGTGCTTAGTATGCATGAGGCCCTGGGTTCCACCCCAAGCACCACAAAAAGAAAAAGAGGCACAATTAGATGATCATCTCAACATCAATTGATACAGTAGTGCTTCAGTTCAAAAGCAGTTTTTCTTTCCTTCTTAGGTAGATCCTCAAAGGTATTTAGGTCTCAAAGAGTTTGTTCAAGCAGGGAATCCCTGAATGTGCATTTTTTCCCCTTTGAAAATTAAACAGGGCACAAGGGTAAATATGTATTTACAATGCCATGAACAATTTTAATTCTTTAAAATATTTATTTTGTGGTACTATGGATTGGGGTGCTCTGTCACTGAGTTACATCCCCAACTCTAAATTTCGAGACAAGATCTTGCTGGATTGCTCAGGACCTATCTAAGTTGCTGAGGCTGACCTTGAATTTGAGATCCTCCTGCCTCAGCCTCCTGAGCCACTGGGATTACATGCATGTGCCACTACACCTGGTTGAAGGCCGTTTTAATTCTATAATGTTTGGACTCTGCAGTTGAGGCACTTCTTTCCTAAATAAAGCAGAAGAGTGTCAAGCCCTGTCCTGCCCTAGCACTTCTTGAGCTGGCCTGCCAGCTGAGGGCCACCAGACACATGGGCTCCAAGCTATTGAGGAGACCAAGGGTCCAAGAGAACTGCAGCACAGGCCCTGAGTCTAATAAGCCAGGTATAGTGGACAGAAAGGTTCCTTACATAGAGGAGACAGTTACCACAGGTCTGCTGCTCTTTGGCTGAGTGACCAATTAGGCCATCTTCCTCAGGCCTCAGGTCACCCTAAATTGGGGATGGCAGGAGTTTGTATCTCACCTGGTCTTGTGAGGAGTCCATGAAATCCACGAGAGGCACTGAAGTGTCCCACACCCAGGAAGCACCCGATCCATGTTAGCCACACCTGGGTCAGTATACCCCTAACTCCGCAGGAAGCCAAATGGCTCCTGGGTTCTCTGAACCCTGACCTGATCCTGGGGCAGAGCAGCTTGTGACCTGGGGTGCTGATTGGCTGCTTCTCCTGCTGTTATTTATTGCTTCTTCCCTCTAGTGTTTGCTTTTCCAAATTATAAAAGTAATCTATGCTCCAATTCTTGGTATATGTTAGGTGCTCAATAAATGTGTGAACTGAGTGAATATGTGCATGTGGGAAAACGGCCACAACACAGAGCCTATAGATTATATTACAGAAGAATATAAAGCACCTCCCTCCACCCCAAATGTGCGCCCCCACTTCCCCCATCAAATCACTCCCAATGGCTCCCAGGGTCATCTGGCTTTAGGCCACTCCCCAGCTCTCCAGGCCTGGTGGCCTCCCCAGGTCCTGGCACTGGACCTCACTCTTGTCTATTTAGGGTGGTAAACACAGGTGGCCACCCAGTAGAGCCAGCCTTGTCCATTCATGGAACAGGGAGACCCCATCATGATGTGAAGGGTGACAAGAAGTTGTGTCCAACATGCCCCCACTCCCTGGTACCTAGATTCCTTTTGGAGGAGCAGCAGCCCCCCGGGTTGTGAACACTGCAGTAGGAACTAGCTCACTGGATCCTTCCAGATGTAATTGTGACAAGAGGAGGAGGGGAGGCAACTGGCCAGCCCCCGCCCTGAGCCCTCGCCTAACAGGGTGACCACTGGTTGGCTTTGCTCACCTCTTCCATGGGACTCACATAAAAACTGAAAAACAGCCCTGCTTTTTAGCCAGAACTGAGCTTCAGTGGAGGGAAAGGTGAACTGGAGGCTTCCAGGGTGCTGCAGATTCTGGAGGTGACAGACCTGGCTTCCCTTGCTGACTGCAGTGTGGCATTCACAAGCCTCCTCATTTTCCCAGGCCTCAGGAAAACAGGTGACAAGGAGAAAATGAGCTAATCCCACAGTCAAGGGTGGGATCTGTTTCTGTGTTCCTCCTTGGAGCCAGCTCTGAAGGGTCAGATTGTCCTCCATGTTGGCATGCTGAACTGGTCACCAGAGCTCTTCTCCACCTTTCCCAGGGGCGTTCTGACATGTTCCAGCTGACCAATTGGTGATCACCAGCTGAGCTAACTCTAGTACACAAATGCAAAACATGCTTAGCCAAATTAATCTTATTTTACACCAGATTTAAGAACGTGTTCTTATGTTGTTCTATAATTGTTCTGCATGTCAATTTGGTTCCCAGTTGGGATTATCAGTGTCTTCAGGAAAAGTGCCATTTTAGTAAATGTCACCTCATCCACTCTTAGCACAGCTCTGTGAGGTAGACTCTTTGCCCCTGTTTATAAATGATGAACCAGTTCCAGGTCTGGGGATTGCCCAAGCCACACAAACAGATTCCCTGGTTCTTCCACGCTCTGATTTGGCCTCCTGTGCCCTGCTGGACCAGACTGCTACAAAGCCTTTGGAATAGCAGAAAGCAATAGACTATAGAGTAACAACACAGAATGGGGTGAATAGTACTGGCTGCCTTTGTGCTAAGAAAAAATTACTGTGGTTTTATTTTGGTGCAGACCCAAGATTCTGCCTTAGACTTAATAGTCTCCTTCCTGTTCATAAATAAATAAATAAGACATGGCTGTTTGTCTTTCATTCATAATAAGAATGCATGCTTCTGGCTGGGGCAAGAGTGATAAGGAAGGAAAGAGTATTTAAAATTGTTTCTTGGGGCTGGGGATGTGGCTCAAGCGGTAGCGCGCTCACCTGGCATGCATGTGGCCCGGGTTCGATCCTCAGCACCACATACAAACAAGGTTGTGTGTATGTGTCCACCGAAAACTAAAACATAAATATTAAAAAACTCTCTCTCTCTCTCTCAAAAAAAAATTAAAAAATAAAATAAAATTGTTTCTTACCAGGCACAGTGGCACTTGACTACAGTCCCAGCCAATCAGGAGGCTGAGGTGGTAGGATTGCTTGAGCCCTGGAGTTCAAGACCAGCCTGGGTGATATAGCAATACCCCATCTCAAATGTGGCTCAGTGGTAGAGTGCTTGCCTAGTATGCATGAGGCACTGGGTTCAATTCCCAGCACGTAAAAATAAATAAAGATATTGTGCCCATCTACAACTAAAAAAAAAATGTTAAATATTTTTTTAAATAATTAAATAAAAATCTGTTTTCTCTAGCCTTTCCCCTTTGGAAAGCTATTCTGGGAGAAACTCAGGCAACTGGGGGAGTCCCTCTCCACAGAGTTAGCCACGACCTGGCTAGACACCCCCAGCCCCAGGCCATAGCCCTCTGCCTCCCCAGATCACTCCAACTACCTAGCCAAGGTGTACCCACAATGTTTATACCAACATATGAAATGACAACGAATGTCACAGTGACATTTAAGAATTCAGTAAGGAAACCAGGACAGGAAAGATCTTAAAACAAACCACACAGGAAGCTTGTCACAAGTCTCAAGTTTTTTATTTTCAGAACAGAGTCTGGTTTTATTTTTAAAAAGAGAAAGAAAAAAAAAGTGATAAATGCTAGTGAGGTGCCACTTCCCTCCTCCTTCTGGGCTCTAGATCCCAGCTAGTTCTCTTCTACAAAAATCCACCAGCTCATTATCAGGGTATACTAAAAGAGAATGGTCTTAGCAAGCATTGTGCTGCATGATTATAATCTCAGCTGCTCAGGAGGCTGAGGCAGGATGATTGCTTGAGCCCAGGAGTTTGAAGCCAGCCTGGTTTCAAAGGGAGACCCCTTTTCAATCAAATTGATAGTCTTTAGAGAGAGTCTAAATGGGTAAGGTTTGAGGGGTTGGTAGAGGACCCACACACATGTTCAAACATCAGGAGCAGGCAGGTCTACATTCTGAGCCCAGAGTTCTTTTCTGTAAACCATACTACTGGCACAGGCTTCAGGGACAGCACATTATCCTGGTCATCAGACCCCTGGGGAACATCTCAGGTTTAATCCCTACAATTTAGATGGCCTGGAATGCAAGGAAAAGGGGGCTGGGAATGTGGCTCAGTAGTAGAGCATTTGCCCCAGCAAAACAAATAAAAATAAATAATTTTTTAAAGGGAAGCTTTAAGTGACATTTCTTATTGACACTGGAAAAGGGGGAATGAGTGAAAGACTCAAATAAAACATACCAAACTGGGCATGGTGGTGCATGTCTGTAATTCCAGTGGCTCAGGAAGCTTAGTCAGGAAGATCATGAGTTCAAAGCCAGCCTCAGCAACAGCGAGGCGCTAAGCAACTCAGTGAGACCCTGTCTTAAATAAAATACAAAAATGGGCTAGGGAGTGGCTCAGTGGTCAAGTGCCCCTGAGTTCAATCCCCAGTACCCTCCACCCCACTCCACCCCACCTCCCCCCGCCCAAAAAAAAAAAAAACACCAAAAAGAAGGGACTTCACCTCCTAAGCACAAATTAATTGTGCCCAATGTATAAAAGAGGATGCTGGGAATGAGAGGGGGAGAAGGGACCTTAGGCAGGACTTGAGCAGGCCCGGCCTCTACCAGAATTGGCCCCATTGCATCATCTCCACAGACCCAGGGAAGCGGCAGCTCACTGGAACCTATCACGCCCCCAACCAAAACCCAACAGCACTCAGAGTTCATACCTAGTCACTCAGCAGGGAGATGGCCATCAAAAGAGTAGAACAAAGGTGGGTCAGGGGCCAGCCAGGGCCAGCCATGGCTCAGACATAATGTCCTTTCACAGTCACTGAGATTAGGTAGCAGAAAAACAGCAAAGCTGGAGAGAAGATATGGGAGTAGCAGGAGCAGCTCTCAATTCCCACCTGGGCCTGGGCCTAGGCCCCAGAACCTTGAGTCCAATCAAAAGAAAAGAAGGGGAGTCAGTCTCGGGTTAGGGAGAAGGCAGAACAGATTTGTTGTCAAATCCAGCCAGCCAGTGCAGTGCAAGAAGGGTGAGAGCCCAGAGGGTGCTGACTGTAAACCTTTCCCCACCCTTGCCGGCGCAGAGCAGGGCAGGCTCCAGAGCACTCTAGCCAAGCTTTAGCCCCTCACGGATCTGTCCACATGGATGGTTTCTGCCCACAAGCCCCCAGGCAGGTGGGAGGGAAGAAACCCCAAGCATCCCCTTGGCTTCCAAAGGATCCCAGCTGAACCAAAACAAGAGGTTATTTTGGCTGGGTGTCCCGGCTGTTGGATTAGTGCACTGTCATGACTTGGCACTCTGGGCCCCTCCCTGTGCTGAGGACTCTAGAGAAGGCTAGAGACCATGCAGTAGGAAAAGACCCTACAAGCCCACCCCAGCCCTGGTGCCAACAGCACCTGCTCTTCCAGCCTGAGAAGAAGCAGGGAATGTTCCACAAGTATATCCTGGCTGGCTCCTCTCCTACCTGCCCTTACAGAGAGCACTAAAATCAGGGCTTTCAAGAGACCTAAATACAAAGAATGCTACACTAGGAAGGTAACTGAGGCCAAGAAAGTAAAAATAATATATTACTCAAAGATAATGAGTGAACGAGAATCCATGTCTTCCGGATCCTGGCCCAGGGTTTGTTACACTACACAGAACTCCCAAAGCAGAAGAAAGAAGGGGAACCCAAAATGCCTAAAATTTTGCCCCCATCCCATTCTATTGTGGGTGGGGGAAAGTGAGTATTTCCTGGCCTTAGTCCCTACTGTCTTCCTGCACCCTTACCGCCCCTAAAAATACTTATCCTGCCTCAAGGATTCCAAGAGTGATGTCCCACCCCAAGTTTGTAAGTGGGCAACCCTGCTCGTCTCTTGTCGTTACCTCGGTAAGAGGAACAGCATGAGGGAAAGCTGGCCAGGCAGGGAGGGTTCTGCAGCCTGCCTTGTTCCTAGTGAGTTCTATAAGCAGAGCAGAGACAGAAAGGTCACTGCCGCCTTTCCTGATCTGTACTAGTTCCCTGGAGGAGAGACAGATGGGGACTGGGAATCCTACTCCCCTGGATCCATGGAAAGTCCAACTTCACATCCATCCAGGAACCCCACCCAAGCTGCTTCTCTGAGCCCAGTTCTAACCCAGCCAGAACCAGCACAGGAAGGATAAGCATTCTGGATGCAGATGAGGGAAAAAAAGATGGGCGAGCCAATGGCTGATACTCCACAGACCCTGTAATCACTGGCACCAAACCCCAATGGGACCTGGGGCCACACTGAACACAACTTCTATATTTTCTTTATTTTTTGCAAGCAGCATCAGTGCATGATGCAACAAAGTGGAAAGCACAGAGGTAGAAATGCTCACTCACCCAAGAATGGGTGCCGTTTGGTCCTTAGAATATGGATCCCTCCTCCCAAGCTGAGAAGGGAGGAGTGGGATTGAGGAAGACCTGGGAGAGCTTCTCCCTTGAGGAAAACAACTGTGTAACTCCAAGGCCCACTCTCCTGGGGATTCGTGGTCAAAAATTCAGGCAGGAAAGAGGAGATTGGTGGTAGTGGAGGGTGGGCAGCAAAATTCCCCCCAACCCCCCTTGTGGTTGCAAGGACCACAGGGTAGACACAAGGAAACAATGCCTCCCCCCGCCCTCCCCCCCCACCTCTCTCTTCATCTACTTTCTGGAATAGATACACAAGGAGAAGAGTGGATTTGGGGTCAGTGGCCTCAAACCACAGCCTAAAAGATGCTGGTGAAGGCCCAAGGTGCAGCCCCCCTGCCTGGATAACCCCCTTTCCTCCATTCTCTCTCACAATGGATGGGAATTTGGGTGAGGCAGGGAAAGCAGGAAGCATAGTCATCCAGTCCCATGGAGGTCAGTATTGGGGTAGGATATGGAAAAAGGAGCAAAGGGTAAGTGGACCCACCTCCCCCACGGTTACTGCTCCCTCTGAGTTGTCTTTACCTAAAGTGTGCAAAAGGATGTGCTGGCCCTCAGCCCTAGTAAAAGTCACCTCTTCCCAACAAAGTCTAACCAAATCCTGGGAACAGGTCTGAGGCCACAGGGCCTGGGGCCTCAACCTCAAAGCAAGGCTCCCTCTCATTCACTCCCTCAATTCTGGGAAGCGACAGCCAGCGTGTTGACATAACCATGGGGACCCCCCTCGTTCTCAGAGATGCAGTGGCCCAGCTGGGAACCTCCCTGAGGTGGTGGCGGCGGGGGCGGTGGGGCAGAAGGTGGAGCACCATAACTGCCTCTAGCCCGACTAGGGGAGGTCCGACTCCCCCGATCCCAACAGCCCTCTAGGGCCTCCAGGCCTCGGCAGCCAAGGAAAAAGAGGTTCTTCAGCATAAAGATGGAGAGGGGCTGCTGGAAGCTCACCACCAGGAGGCACCGCAGCGCTAGCAAGGGCACATCCACCAGGCAGCCACTCAGTAGGCGCAGAAGGCGGCTGCAGCTGCCAGGGCCTGAGGCCTGGCCCCAGGACGACGCTGCCACCGCTGTGGAGTTGAGCTCGTAGAGCCAGAGCACCGGCGAGGCAAGGGTGAGGAAGTAGACAGAGATAAGCAGGTATCGCAGGTGCGGGGGCAGCGGCACCCGCCCTTCCAACATCAGCTCCACCAGGGTAAAGCTGTCGAGCAGATCTAGGCACGTGCCCAGGAAGCAGCCAGCAGCCCGGTGTTGCTGGGGCTGCAGGAGCAGGGGTCCCGCAGAACCAGGAGGCGCGCCCGCCTCGCTGATGGCCCGCACCAGGCTGTAGAGCAGGGGCACCGACAGCGCCATGGTGAGGCGGAAGCCCGTGGTGCCAAAGGGCGCGCGCAGCTCGATGAGGTCCAGGATGGACGTGCCGAGGATAAGGACCACCTTGGGCGTGAAGGCGATGGAGTAGATGAGCCAGGCCAGGTAGGCGAAGGCGAACTCCCCCGCCGTCCCGGTCGCCCCCGGGCAGCTCCCTGGACCTCCGGCGCTCGCGCGTCCGCCGCGCGCCTTGGCCCCGGCCGGGGCCCCAACAGAGGCTGATGAGGTAGCAGGCAGGTGCAAAGGAGGCGCAGCGTGGTGGTGATGCTGATGGTGGTTGTGCGCGACATTCGCCGCGCCGCCCCGACGGCCCCGGCTGTTCTTGGCGAAGAAGATGGCCCAACCCACCACTACCACCAAGTCGGTGGCGATCCAGGAGCACCAGTACAGGTCAGTGACGGCGATGAGGTACAGGTCTAGCAGACCGCCTTGCGCCAGCAGTAGCACCACGGACAGCGCCTGGTAGCCCCAGCGGCACCCCGGGCTTGGGGTGCAGCCGCGACGCCGACCCCTGCGGCCAGACCGGGCCGGGCGGCCGCAGCAGCAGCAACACGAGCAGCAGGAAGCGCCGCTGCCAGTCCCGGTACCGCCCGCGCCCCCGGCGGAGCGGCCCCCTGAGCCCCCGACGGCCCCAGGCGCTGCGCCCCCGCCGAAGTCCGCAGCCGTCATGCTGCAAGAGGAGGTGGGCGTGGAAGTGGAGGAGGTGGTGGCAGTGGAGGAGGAGAAGGCTGCCGGCGCGGAGTCGGTGGCCACGGCGCCCCCCTGAGCCAGGGGTCCCGGGAGCCCGGCGGCGGTGGCCGGCACCAGTGGCTTGCTGATGCTGATGCTCTCGTCGTCGTCCTCTCTCTCTGCGCCCGTGCTGCTGCTTGGGGAGCAGCCGCCCCCGCCGCGTCTGCCGCCTCCTCCCCCCCGGCTGGTACTGGTGCTGGTGCTGCTGTCGCCCGAGCCTCTCCGGCCGCGGGAGGAACCCCCCCGGAGGAAGAGGGGCTGTAGCCGGGCGGCGGCAGGGGGCGGCGGAAAGGAGCCAGACGAGGATGAGACCGCGCGAGGGTTGCTGAGCGCCGGGTGCATTGTCCTCCGAGGGGCTCCGGGGTCTGCCCAGCTGCTCCCTCCCCGCCAACCTCGGGCTGGCGAGGCGGCCGAGGGGAGCCGGGGCCAGTAGCCGCCGCCTCCTCCCCAGCTGCGGGACTCGTACCCGGGTTGGGCAGCACCGAGATCCGGACTGGAGCCACCGGACTGGGCGAGCCGAGCCCTGGGTGGCTGGGAGCGGGGTAGGAGAGGAGCTGATCCGACCGCGGAGCTGGTGACGGCGGGCGAGGCGGGGGCGGAGGCGGGGAGCGAGCCCAGCCGACAAAAAAGGGAGCTGGCGGCGGGGAAACCAGGACTGGATTCAAGGGAGAGAGGAGAGACCAGAGGAGGAGAAAGCCTGGCTTGCTGGATCAGAGGAAGAAAAGGAGGAGAACGCTGAGGCTTTAGAGACGGGGTGGGGAGTCGTGTGGGCCTGGAGGACGCAAAGAAAGGCGCAGGTATCATCCCCCAGAATGAGGAGGAACGAGGCTGACTGGTGGCGACGGTAGCAGAACCTTAGCAAGCACAGGATTCCTAAGGAAGTCCTTTGGGAGTTCCACTAGCTGAATCCTTGGAGCATCCATCAATGGCTGGATGACTTTTGCCTTGTTATAGACGCCTAGCACAAGACTCAGGCCACACGTTCAGGCTTCTGTACCTGGTCAGCGTAGCTCCTATGGCAGTCAGCAGCAGGACAGCTTCCCCCCACACTCCACCCGGTGTCCTTTCCACTGGGCCATCCTGCCTCTCCTTAAGGCATTAAAAACTGATGGAGGAGTCAGGCAATACGGATTTTTAAAAGGCAGCCCTAAAAATATAGTTCTGCATATTCATGCACCCAGCACTGAATTCTGGGTCACCCTCAAGGAAGCTCCATTTTCCAGTGGATCAGGAAGTTCCCTGAATATAAGTATTTGGGGAGAGAGAATGAATGAAGGGATTGATGGAGAGGCCCCAGTCAAGCAAGGCTTTGGTATTTATTCTCAAAGGAATTTAAATAAGAGTTGGAAGTAACAAAATGTATCTAGCACAGAGGAAAACAAAGGGCCATTAAGACACATGGTCACCTGATAAAAACTAAGGCTCAAAGGAGAAGCCAGGGAATGATACAACCTGCCAAAGCACAGAAGGAACAGTGAATGGACTATGTCAGCCACCCTGCACCAACAAGCTCAGAGTTCATACTGACTCACCCCCATGGGCCTCAATCCATGGCAAGGACTGGATATCCAGGCAGACACTTGGCAAGAAAGAAGGTAGGGCCCTTTAGGGGAATAGGAGCTTTCTATGACTAGAAATTTCTATGACTAGAACATTTGGGGCTCAAGAAAGATTTGGGACTCCTATATAATCCCATTCCCAGCCCTCATTGAAGCTAGGCAGGAAGCTTGCCTGAATCTTCCTCCTCCTCCTCCACATCCTTCAGGCTGCAAGCTCCCCACCCTGATTTCATTATTTTAAAGCTGTGGTGGCTGGGCTCATCTTGGTAACCCCACATGGCACCAGGGAAGTGATGCAGTGGGACTACAGTGGTTACTTGCCCAGCCTGCATCCCTAAACCTGCCTCTTGGATAAGGGTCAGTTTCAACCAACCCTGCTTTCTCCAGCCTGCACAACTAATCCAAAGCAGAATTGGGATTTAGACCTCATGACCTGCACCGTTTCTCTTTCTCCTTGGCACAGGCAACCTTTGAAAAGTTCTGTGTTCAATCACACAAGGCAGAGCAGGTGTAAGGATGAGAGGAGGTGGATTGGAGCTGGTGCTCCAACTCTGCCACTTAACAGTCTGAGTGAAGTTAGCCTGATTATTTCACCGGTAAAACTTACCTTAAATGGGTTGTTGTAAGTATTGAGAGATCATGTGTGTAAGTGGCTTGGCCCTGGGTATGGTTCAGAGCATACACTCAGTTAAAGGCAGCTTGTGGTACCATAATTCTGGTCAGTTCACATCAGCCACCTAAGGAGCGTTTACCCATAGCAGGGCCACCAGTGGCTACTATCTGGATTGGATTCCTTCCCGAAGCCACATTCAGAATTCTGCTCCCACACAGCTCTACACTTCCATCAGCGCCAAGAAGCAAAGCTGCTAGAGTGTGAGATTCAGCCATTCTAGCCAGTGCTAATATGTGGGAGGGTGAGACATGGTTCAAGGTGGGGAACAAGAGCTTAACAGATGCAGGCTCCACTGGTGTGTGCAACACTACAGGTCCGGCAGACATCAGGGTTAAGCCAGTCCAGGCAAAGAAGTGGATTGGGGAACAGCCAACTGCTAATGGGAGTGATTATAGCCAGGCTTTGAGTCTCCCCTAGGGAAAATACAGGCCAGCAGCTAACATGGAAGCTGGCCCAAGACTGGCCCAAGTCAATGAAGCAATTGAAGAAGCAAAAGCAGCTGATGAAGCAAAGAACTTGGACTCCTGAGAGAACACAGGAGATCCTGCCCCACCCCAGCCCACTCACACACACTCCTGGCCCTCCCCTCACAGGTACCTTTGTGAGGACAGATTTCCTCCCTGGCTACTTGAATTTCAACTGTCCTGTGAAGTTATTCTATGGATTTCTAGGAAGTGATCTGTCAATCAGGAAGATTAATTTTCTGTAAGATTCTCTAGCCCAATTTCATTTAGCCTATAGGCCCTAAAAACAAGAACAACAATAATCACCATGAGAGGCAGAGTGTACTCTATCACTCTATGGAATAGGTTGGTGGCTGGAATACTGGCGGGAGCACCTCTTTATACCGGGCTGTTTCCAGCCTCTTCTGTATCCCTCCTCCACCCCCAGCCCCCCCCCCCACAGCCTTTGCTTCAGCCTGGAAAGGGATTAGCAAAGGTATAATAAGGATATGACAGAGATAGCTTGGCGTGGTGGCACACACCTATAATCCCAACTACTTGGGCAGCTGAAGTGGGAGGATTTGAAGTTCAAGACCAGCCTGGGCACCTTAGCAATACCATTCCAAAATAAAAACAGCTGAGGATGTAGTTCAATAGTAGAAATCCCCTGTGTTCAATCCTCAATACTGGCAGGGAAATAAAAAAGTAGCTGGGTGCAGTGACAGGTCCCTGTAATCCCAGCAACTTGGAAGGCTAAGGCAGGAGGATTATAAATTGAAGGCAACTTTGCAAGACCCTGTCTCAAAAAAAAAAAAAAAAAAGATATGTATCTCAGTGATAGAATAACCCTGTATTCAATGTCCAGTGCTACACACATACATACACACATACACATACACACACACACACACAAAAAAAAAAAAAAAGATGTGACAGAGATAAGAGGCCGGAAGACAAAAAGTCATTCTCATACCTAAAGTAAATATAAACATCCCATAATGATCTATTTATTTTTTTAGAATTTTAACATTTATTTTTTAGTTTTCGGGGGACACAACATCTTTGTTTGTATGTGGTGCTGAGGATGGAACCTGGGCTGCACGCATGCCAGGCGAGTGCGCTACCGCTTGAGCCACATCCCAGCCCCCCCATAATGATCTAGAAAAGGAAAGACACAGTCCCTGAACACCTTGTAAACTGTCCCGTCCGGCAGGACACATCAACGTGGGCAGCGAACCTAGATGGGGAGGAATGAAGGGACAAGAGACACGAAAGGTGACAGCAAGACAAAAGTTCTGATCAAGCTGCAAACTTTTTATTGTTCATACAGGGGTACTTATATGCTGGGGATGGGGAAGCTCTCTAATCAGCAATTGCTGGATGTGGGTGGTAAAACTGCCAGCTACAAGATGTCTGATGATCCTGATAACTGCAGGATGTTCCAGGGAGATAGGTAGCTGCAGGATGCCTCCCAGGCAGGATGTCTCCCAGGGGGCTGTCAGGCTAATCTTTGAAGGAGAATTTCCTTCTAGTCCCCGACAGTAAACACCTAGGGCTGATGCTAGATGGCTTACATTCAATACCTGGAAGCCTACAGTCAGAGAGATAAAGCAACTCACACAGCTAGTTAAGGGCAGAGTTAGGCTTAGATGCAGACTTGTGACTCAACTCAGTGCTTTCACCAGCTATAACTCTCCTTCTCACAAACCCAAATGGCAGCAGCTCATAGGCATCCAGGGGACAGGAACAAACTAAGCAGGTTATCAATCCAAAAACCATTTCCCTAAGTATCTGTTAAGTGTTGGGCACTAAATAGGGCTTCTTTAGTCACATAATATTCTTGTCCTCCTAGAAGTGCAAGGCCAGTGGCTCACCACTTTCCTGAAGCAGAAACAGACCAAGACGGAGGAGAGGTGTCCTAGCCAGCTCAACAGTACAGAAGCCTCAGGGAACAGAGCCTTTCCTAGGACTAAGCCATGGTCCCTTCCTTCCTAATCCATTCTCTGGTCATCATCAATGCCTCTCGCCCTCAGAACAAGAGGAAAGGACAGGACCAAAGGGGACCATCCAAGGGTGTGTGGAGCCCACAGATGCTCCCTGTGTGAACATAAGAGGAGAAAAGACACAAGCTGAGTTCTCTGGCTTAGAGTCACACAATCACCCTATACTGTGGCTCAGGAAGAGGGAACCCAGCCAGGAACAAGATGAAGAAGAAGGAGTCTGCAAAGCTTCAGCATCTGAAGTACTTGAAGTCTCAAAAATACTGTGTGAGTTCTGAAAATAGGCACCACGTCTCTCCAATTCAGAGCTCTCTGGTATGCCCTGAGCTACTCCCTGGATGACTCACAGTGATGCCACCACCCACAGGGACAAAGGAGAAACCTCTGCATCAGTGTCTCCACGTGTCAGCCCCTGAGCTAGGTGCTAGGGTTCCAGAGTCTTAAAAATAAAACTAAAAGGCAAGTTTTTCCTAAGAGGGAAACAGATAAGCAATAACACACAATAAAGTATTCTGAGCATTATGGCCAAGTTCTACACGGGGTCCAGAATAGGTACAAATATGAGAGAGACAGTAAAGCCTTTGCTGGTGAGAGGTGAGCTGAAGGATGAGAAGACATTGAAGTTCATACAGCAGGTAGGGAATGGAGGGAGCATTCTAGAAGCCAGATGAAGGAGCTCAGGTGTGGGGTAGCAGGCCTTCGTGCTGGAAGTTGAAGGACAAGGAGAACACGCAATGAAAGGCTGTGTCACAGTGGGCCATGTCTGCTTGGCTGAGTTTGAGCTGCATTCAGAGGGAATAAGGAATTCTCAGGAACAGAAATGTAATGTGATCAGATCTGCATTTTACTAAAAGTGCTTTGTAGTCGAGCATGGTAGCCCACGCCTATAATCCCAGCAGCTCAGGAGGCTGAGACAAGAGGATCCTGAATTCAAAGCCAGCCTCAGCAACTCAGCAAAGTGAGACCCTGTCTCTAAAAAAAAAAATTCCAAGAAAGGGTTGAGGACGTGGCTCAGTGGTTAAGCGCTCCTGGGTTCAAACCCAGGTACCACAAAAAAAAAAAAAAAATTGCTTTATAAGGGAGAAATGGAAAGGAAATGGAGACACAGTCAAAGTACAGTGATACACACCTTTAATCCCAGCTACTCAGAGGCTAGGGATGGAGGATTACAAATTCAAGGCCAGTCTCAGATATTTAGCAAGATCCTGTCTCAAAATAAAAACAAAGAAGAAAGGTGGACTAGGGAAGCGGCTCAATGGTAGAGCACCCCAGATTCAATCCTCAGTACTGCAAAAATAAATAAAAAGATAGATAGATAGATAGATAGATAGATAGATAGATAGATAGATAGATAGACAGACAGACAAACCATGACAACAACAGACAAAGGCACAAAGACACTGAATTCTAGTCCTGGTGATACTGTGAACTATATAACATAAGAGTTTGCAGTTTGCCAACAAAACAAAAACACTAGACAAATATAACATTTGTTTTGTTTTTGTTACTGGGAATCAAATCCAGGAGCACTTAAACACAGAGCCACATCCCCAGCCCTTTTTTTGAGATAGGGTCTCAATAAGTTTCTTAGGACTTTGCTAAATTGACAAGTGTCACAGCCCTCAGTGGCCTGTGTGTGGACTCCGTTGCACATAGTAGCCTAATGAGGGGATAAGTCTGGCTCTGGGAACTTCCCGTGGCACCCCCCACAGGGATTGATCGCCTGATACAGGTGAACTTCCCCCTCAAGCTCTGCCAGATATCCCACACAGCACCTGAGATGGTGTGACCTTCCAGGATGTCAATCAACCTGCTAACTGCAAGAACCACAAAGCAAGACTCAGCCCTTGAAACCTTATCCCTGCCTTTGATGTCCCCCAACCCCATATAAATAAAGCAAGAGTGGCCTCCTTTTGCCAGAGTATAGAAGCTTGACCCTCTACTTGCCCATCCTGCCCCTACTTTCTGAAAAATTTTTCTGTGTCCTGCGGTTTTTTTATCATTCTATTTTCTATTTCTCGGCCAGCCCAGACCACCTAGGGGACCCCATTTCCATCACCTGCGCAGGACATAGGCGAGAGCCAAGGCTGGTTTTGAACTTGCAATCTTCCTGCCTCAGCCTCCAGAGCCACTCGATTACAGGTGTACACCACCACACCTAGCTATAACATCTTTAAATGCATAGTTAATCTCACAAGAAGATAAATTCTTTTTTTGCCATGCTGGGCATCAGCCCAAGGCCTCATACATGCTAGGCAAGCACTTTACCACTGAGTTATACGCTACCAGCACCACAGAAAATCTTGCAGTCATTAATATTGAGGGATCTAAAAACCAGAATAAATGAAGGAAAGATGCTGTATGCCTTAAGATATGCAGTTGGTCTCAGGTAGCTACACTGTCTAACCAAGTGGGGACCAGATACACATGGCCATCTAGACTTAAACTGATTTAATGTTAGTTAAAATTTAAAATGCAATTCCTACTATTCACTAGCCATATTTCAAGTGCTCAATCGTTACTAATGAATACCATGTAGGGCAGTGCAGATATAGAATATGCCCATCACTGTGGCAAGATCTACTGGACAAGGATGCTGCAAACTTAGATATTAGCCCAGCAGAGATAGGAGACATGGCATTAAATCCAGCTGAGACAGGAAGAATGAGCTGAGTTCCCTGCATAAAACCATCAAAGTCAATGAAAGGGTGGACAGAAAAACAAACATACCACCAAAACAGGAGACCACATGGAAATGAGTGAGTCTGGCCTAGGCTCAAAGTGAAAGGAGAATTTCTCCTGGGAATTTTCCACATACAGATTTGGGACTTTTAACAATGTCATGGTAAAAAATCAATATAAACACTGGTCAGAGGCTGGCAATAAACATGAGGACCTTAGTAACCACAAATATAATGAGTACTGAAGGGACATACCCGCAACACAGGCCTTACAGGGTTCCAATAGAAAAAACACCAGTAAAAGCGAATTCACAATCCCAAATTACAAATCACACACACACAAAAACCCATCATGAATGAAAGACAACAGATGAAACAGACAGGAAGATTCAATGTCCAAGAACTTCAGAAGATGAAGT